AGATATCTGCCAAAATTAAAAAGTTTCAAAAGGCCAACGAACCCATCACAGCAACTGGGTACACGGGAACATCTGCAGCTAGCCGAGCAAAGGTCGGAGGAAAATCAGCATCGGATGTCATGTCAATAAAGCGAGTACGAGATGAGGACAGTGACACGCGCACCGTAAAAAAAATTGCTGTAGAAGCAGGAGCTGGATCGTTGAGCAAGAAGCTAGCTCAGCCAAAGATTTCCCAGTCCACTAGTAAGACTGCAGCGTCAAAACAAACGGCCTCTTCCGTGCTTCCCGGAAAATCACGACCTATTGCAAAGACCGTGGCCAAACCCGAGCCTGTCGGAGTGGATAATTCTAACGCGTCTACTGATGAAAAGAGTAGACCTGATGTTGGAAAGCTGGCTGCCAAGTCTGAAAGCAAACCCGGTCCATCAAAGTCTGAAACTAAAGCACCTCCGCCGAAAACAGCTTCGAGCTCTGCCGGCGCTTTGTCTGGAATTGCATCCTTGCTAGATTCGATCAACGCCAAGAAGCCCGAGGTGGCGCCTGTCACTTCCAAAGACTCCAAGAGTCCAGACAATTCAGAAACACCGGAACAAAGAGCTAAGCGTATCCGAAAAGAAGGACGAAGGAAGCTTCGCGTGAGCTGGAAGCCGGAGGAAGAGCTTGTTCAAGTCAAGATCTTCCAGAAAGACGACGAGGAAGATGAAGGACGTGATGTGAACATGATTCGCGACGCTGGAGATGACCGATCAGAGGGTATGGTGTTGAAGCAACGTGCTGATGTCGATGAGGATGATGAGGACGACGATATACCTTATCAACCATGGGTTGGCCCCACGGCTACTGACTTCTCCCAACTGCCATCCGACGTCAGAAACAAGAACTACATCACACGTGGTGGCAACGTCACATTCGAAACGAATGAACAGAAGGAAATCACAGCGCGTGGGCAAAGAGAGCTCATGGCAATATACACGAATGTGGATGACATTCCTCCGAGTCCCAAATCACCTCCGCCGGAGTCGTCCAATCCAGCACACTCGAAAGCTGTGTATCTCCCGACTGAAGGTGCAAAATTGGAGGAACTCCAACTTCGATGGCGAGACGAGCAGAGCATGGGAGTGGATCAAGCCCTTGGCGCAGCACTCCGGAGAATCGATGCCAAAAACAACCCGTCGAATAAGCTGGACGACATTCTCGGACGACTTAAGGGTTCACCGGATAAGTCAAGCTCCCATCAAGCAACTTCGCATCCTTGGGCACTTTATGGTTCGTCTACAACGCAGCATAACTTTCCCTTCGCCGTGGGACCTAGCAGCGAAGTACAAGTTCTTGCTTGCCTCCAGCAAGAGAAAATCGCCACATGGCGCGACCTGAACCCTGTCCAGATTGATCCCGCTCGCTCTCATCAGTATGGTGACGCAAACTTGCAGATGATTGGCAATCATATCGAGTCAGTAGCTAGAAGCTTGGCTGGAAAACCGTATCCAGCCACCGCACCGCCTGAATGGCTGGCACATGATGAGGAGAGGGTTCGCGAATGGTGGCTGGGATACAACAAGGAATCTGCCGCTAGGCAGAGAAAACTGGACGAAGATCGTGCTCGATCCGAGGCTGAGGCCAACGCGATGAGGCTTGTCGCTGGTGCCTCTGGCCAGATCCCCAGCCAAGACTGGAATATATACTACCAGCAGCAGCAACAACAGCAGCAGCAGCAGCAGCAGCAGCAGCAGCAGCAGCAGCAGCAGCAGCAGCAGCAGCAGCAGCAGCAGCAGCAGCAGCAGCAACAGCAGCAGTCTTATGCACCATATTTAGCTCTCCTGCAACAAATGACGGGCGGCCATGTTGCTGGCCAAGCGCAAGGTAGCTCATCACAAAGCCAGCAAAGCTCGATTCCTGACAGCCAGCTCCAATCGATTCTGGCCGCCATCAACCAACCCCAACAGCAACAGCAAGCTCAGTCGTCCAATGCCAACCCTCTGGCTAATCTCAATCCTAGCGACCCTTCATATCAACAACTAATGATGTTGACACAATTAGCACAGGGCCATCAACAAGGTCAGCCACCTCCACCACCTCCGCCCCCTCCTCCATCCAACGAGCGAGACTGGGATCGTGGTGAGAGAGACGCCAAAGATACTCGCAAGAAGAAGGCAACGTTGCCACCACATAAGCCTGCCAACAAGGCCCTGATCGGAACCAAGGCCTGCACATTTTGGCAGCAAGGCAAGTGTGCGCGTGGCGACAAGTGTACTTTTAGACATGACTGAGTTGAGACTTGTGAAGGAAGTTGAAATAAACACCCTCGCATGTGGCGTCTGGAGCAGATTCTTATTTGGTTTCTTTTTTAACCTCTTGCGACGTCATTTTTACAATCAGTGAGTTGGGCAGTACTCGGAGAGCATGGTATCTCTCTGCGGCAAATGTATAGTGGAAATGGGCGGGTTGGGATGTACATTATCACAATGCATTGCTCAAGGTTCTGAGCTGGAACAAGGTTACTTTTTGTTGATTGATGACTGTAAACACCAGTGCTTCCTCCTCCTGATGTCTACTAGGAATCGTAAGAACAAACTGTGATATCAAATATGGCACCAAAGCGCTTCACCAAATGCCTCCCCTCCCTGTCACATAGATACGTGCTTGAATTCGTTCTCATTCATCAGTCTTCATCTCAGTATCTCCTCCCGTCCTCGCAACCAACCCCCTCAGGCTTAAATCATACACCACGTCTTCCACCCTCTTTACATCATACTTGACGGCGTCTGCGCGCTTGCGCAAAATGTCATTCTTGAGATTAAGCAGCTGGAACCCGGCGAAGATATCCTTGATAAAGGCACTAATGGTCATGGGCAGCTGGAAATCGCCCATTGTGACAGCATTGGTAGCCAAACGGGCTAGTTCGGGGGTGAGGTCGGTGAGGGAGAGAAGATACTCTTCTATGGTGAAGTGGAACGCATCGCGGTCCTTGAGGTTTGTCGGTACTGATGATTTCGGTCAGCACTGGCCACGGCTAAAGAAGGGGCAAGACCGGCAAAAGCCTCGATTGACTGAGCGAAGAAGACATACCTGAGAAGATGGAACCGACGTCTTCAAGCGTGAGAAGGCGGCCAAGCTCGCCGGGTTTGGAGTCTGAGGGGAAACCGCCCAGCCATGCGCAGTACAGCGTCGTCCCAATGGCGTTTTGCACGGTTCGTGCCCATTTGGAATTGTACCTGGATGGAATTAGTCTGATTTGGGATATCCTTTTGGCTTTTCTTTCTCTGTTTTTCTGTAGGATGGCAGGAACAGTTGAATCTTGTGAAAACGAACTTGTAGTAGGGGTGCTTGGAGGCAACCTCGTTCAACTCCTTGACAATGGCGACTTCGTCCTTGACGGCATTTTCTACCTGCTCGATCAAGGCTGGGTCTGGTGTCACATTAGCATACTTTCTAGGGCATGTACGACGTTTGGCGGGGGAAACGGTGCATACAGCGGGTACGAGGAGTCGAGTGGACTCGAGACAGCAGAGCCTGGGCGGAGGCGACGCTTCGTTCGAGTTTTTGCACGATTTGCGTGAGGGTATCACGGACCTCGGTTTCTTCTTCGAGCTTGGATTCGAGATAGCTGAAGATGGATGGGTCGAGAAGGCTGGATTGGGTGGACATTGTGGCAGGTTTTGGAGGGAAAGATTTGGTGTGATAAGTTTGAGGTTCAGACGAGGTGAGGTTTCGTGATGGATTTTAAAAATGGTGGTGATAGCTATTGTGGGGCAGATGGCAATGAGCACTGTTTGGTGAAGAGTGAGACAATAGACGACGAAGCCTTTCGGGAGCAGCGATAGTTCTGGTATCGGGCGGTTGCTTCTTGAAAAACTCTTGATCTGACGAAACTTTCAGAGATAAGCTATGCCCAGGGCCAGCTCTGGGTCCTCGCAGGACCAGCGTGACAGCTCAATCCAAACTACAAACATGCCCATGCATACATATTCTTCACGTTGACTGACACATTCGACCCTCCTCGTTCATCGATCTTCTTCGCAGCCGAGTCACGCTCAACTGTAATGAAAATAAATCCGAAAAGGTTCGCATCACCTGGGCGCAGTGTAATACCAGGGACACAGTGGACAAGAACCATGCGTAAACGCAGAGGCGCTCTCGTCCTTGCTGCCAAAAATGGGAATAATCACGATAAGCCCCGTTTCGAGGCATTTCAGAGATTAAACTGAAAAGAACAGATACTACACTTGATCTAAGCCAAAAGGCAAAGAGAGCTGGGGAGAAAGGAAAGAAAGCGAGACAAAGATCAGCGGGCGAGGCGAGATTCTTATACGTGGTGAGGTGGGCGGTGAAGGGGCAAACACGGCAGAATGTGCAGCTGGTGGCGGTGCTCGGGGTGGGTGGCGCTGCCTAGTGCGGCTGTACCTGGAGCTGTCTGCCTTGCGAGCTCAGAGTCTGCATACACGATGCCTTTGTCCATTTGATGACAGCCTTTTGCGATTTCTGTGCCACCCATGTTTGTTGCGCCGTGTTGACGATCTCGCTACTGTTAATTTTGATTGAGGGAGCCGATACTCCAAGTTACGGACAGGTTCAGCCATGAGGCTAGAACCGACTATGCAATCCACGGCCCGATACCTGAGCGATGGGACAAGGGATTGAACATGCTTTGCATACACAAAGGACTTGCGCCGAGGAGAAGTGCGGCAGCCTGCTTCTATTGCATCTTTGTGCGTAGAACGTAGTCTTGAAACTGTCATGAAGCATCGATTGGACTGGTCTTGGACAGCACGGCCACATGCCGCCCCAACGTCAACCTAACTTCTGGCATCTTTAGTTCAACGTTTGAGCCCCGAAATGCCTACCACCTCGCCTCATGATCAAGTGCTGTCCATTGAATAACTGCCTAGGTATATAAGCTCTGAATTATCCCTCGGTTCTCTGTAATGTCGTCGTGGTCATTCCTGTAACTACAACATCGTCAACTACATACAGCACTAGGCATAGTGTCCTTCATCGAGAAAATGTCTACCTCCCCCCGTCTGACATACAACATCACAGAGGTGTCGCCGCTTAAGGAGATCCCCGATCGCAAGGAAACTAGCATTTCCGTCCAACGTCCTTTCTCGGTGCTCAACGATATTTTCCGACGCATTCCCGTCGTTGGATCCACGCTTGATTCCGCCCTCCAGCCGCTCGAAAATGTAATCTTCCCGGGCAATGCCCCAGTCACAAAACGCGGAATCAACTACGCTGCACTCAACGAAAAAAAATCACAACTCGGCAAGGCAGCTATGAGCCCTTATCTCCAGATGTCCGCCACTACACCCTCGCCACGCCCCTGGGGAACTTGGTGGGCGTCCACGTCTACCCTGCCAAGGGCCCCGTCACACAGGTAGTCATAGCTAATCATGGAAACGTGCGACCACCTCGCTACATGAACCGGGAACTCGAGGCGCTGACGAACGGTCGGACTCGCGTCGTCATTGCTGTAGACTTTATCGGCTATGATCTCAGCTCCCGAGTCCCAAATAAAGGGGGCGCCCTCGAAATAGCCTCCATCATCAACGACACCATCGCCTACCAATACGCTACAGATATACCCCGGCGCAAAGGAAGTCATCTACTTTGGAAGATCGGTGGGAAATTTCGGGTGGGGCCATTGCATGCAGTTCCCCAAGGTGACCAAGGTCGTTGCCTGCGTGCCCTTTGGAGACCTGCACACTGTCGTTGGGCGCTTCGTATCCTTGAAGGCGCCTCAAAACTCCCTTGTCCAGTCGATTGTGACGGCTGTGCAATACATCAGTCTAGGGCAGATTCTGGGAGCGGCTTTCCCGAGCGGCTCCCGTGTGGACGACCTGCCGGGAGCACAGACTCGAGGGTTTTCGCTTGCGAGCATTGTTGATGCTCTGGTTGGACCCATGCCGGGTAAATCGGTGCTCTTGATGAAGGCCTCAGAGGATGAGCTCATCCCCGACGGAGAGGCCGACCGCTTGGCCGCAAAGCTGGAGGAGAAGGGTATCAAGACCAAGGTCATGGCCCTGACGGGCTCACATCACGCTTTGCCTTGGGATGAGGAGAACAAGGGCTTTGCTCCTGCAGCAATGGAGGATTTTTTCGCCAATGGGCTTTGAAAATAGGGGAGCGCGTGGCTCCTATGCCCCAGGGCTGGAATTACAGACGTGCCGAGATGTATTAGCTAGAGCGTCATTTGAATCATTTCTTTCTCCTTTTTTTCTTTTTCCTTTTCTTCCCCCTTTTCCTTTATCTTGTTACCGTTTTGTACATCTCTTCAACAAAACGACCCACGTTCCTCTATGATATGAGGTGAACATATACTTTGTTTATCTTGTCTTTGTCACGATTTTGTAGTTTGGATCGAGACCGCGGAGGACGGTCAGAACTATCAAGGCAGAATACGGTTGTCATATGAGGCTTGTTCACATACCACTACTGGGAAGGATGATACGTTCAGCCGATAATCAGAGCACGCAACAACACCTGTTTGGTTAGAGAAACGAGAGAGTTGGGCATATCAAGACTTGTGCCTCGGCAAATCTTTGGCCAAGCCGAAACGACGGCGCTTTGCAAAACATGCCAGCAAGAACCTGTCAGTGCGTGCTTGTCGTATACTTGGCGAATCACAAGACGGCTTGCCGAAGGACTTTGAGGAGGTGAGACCGGGCCTACCCGTGGCTCTGTGTAGATCTTTTGGTCACCTGGATCTGTCGGTTGCCCGCGACGGGGTAATAAAACTGTGGGAGGCTGGCTATGAAAAGCATGGCGCTGGCCCAAGCTCTCGGCTGGTCGTACAGATACGAGCTGCGGTTGGACGGAATAGTCCAAATGTCCGTCGGTGAGGGATCGGTGAGGGGATTGTGGCGTATTCGGAGGACGAAACGACGACACACAGGGGATTTTCGGTTTGTAAGCTGGACCAAATGGACGTGTTCCAGGCATTGTTGGTATCGTCAAACTTTGGGTGAGCCTCATCGACAAGAGCGCTAGTACTTACAGTTCAGGGACTCAGTTACATGCACACCATTGACACAACTCTCCTCCCGCAGATACGAAGGCAGAGATGCTACCTGAAATCGAATCAAATTTTTTCACTACTTGGAGTCGAAATTTGATCCGCAGCGCACCGGCCACGTCTCGCACCGTGGCAGATGATAGTCTGCTCACGGGCCAGCTATACCGATGGGGTCATCCCTTCCATGCTTCCATGACAGTCAGGGGGGTTTATTTCATCCCCAGTAACCGTTGATAGCTGGACATAACGATCTAGAAGCTTGAAAAGAGGCCTACGCAGTTTCCTCGCCGACAGATATCCAACCAATCTGCATGGCTGGGCTGCTCGGCTAGTAGAATATCGAGCCAACGACAACCAAGCTGTTTCCCCCGCTTGGGGGAAATAACAATCGTCTTATTGACGAACGGCATCTCCGCAAATGTGGCACGGTGCACGGCTGCGCTTGGATATATCTGTTGGTACGGATTGTAAGTTCCAACGCCACTTGGACCAGGCAACATCAGCAGAGTGCAAAACGGCCCGTCGGAACAAGAACGCAGCAAGGCAGGGAAAAGAGAGGTGGAATATTTAATGAAACTTGACGCTCATGTCGGGTGACTTGATTATTCTTTTCTAGTCGCGGTGGTGCTGTTCCAGTCCGAAGCCGAGTCGTTTCTTAGTCGTCACTATCACTGATTCATAGCATCGCGCACGTTCAAGATTGTATGACGACTCCCAGCCACAGCTTCATCTTTTGCTGGTTAGCCCTAGCAACCCCTCGGCCGCATTAGCTTGTGTGATCTGCTTAGTATTGTCGTCTGAGCTCATATACACCTTGCAGAACTTGGCCGAGTGTCTGGATTGATCTGCAGAAGACAATAGGGGATCTCGAAGTGATCCATCTACACCACGGCCGCAAATTGGGAAAGGGAAATTGCGTATCATGAGTGTTGATGTGACTGTGTGGCCCAATTGAACCCATCATCCTCATCTGTTCCACGCAATTGACTCACAAAGACGGCAATATAAGCCATGACGTCGATTCTCAGCTTTCTTTGCGTCCTGAGCAGCATCTTCTTGGTCGTCAGTGCAGACTTCGTCGTCGTGGAGCACTTGGACCAGCCGCCTTATGGATGGACAAAGCTGGGAGCTGCCAACTCCAGTCAACTCATCCGGCTCTCCATCGCATTAGAGTCTCAGGGCCGCGATGTGTTTGAGAGAACACTGCAAGAGGTCTCAGATCCCACGCACGCACGGTATGGGCAGTATCTGTCTCGTGACGAAGCAGTTGCTTTAGTACGGCCCCGGTCGCGCTCGGTTGCCGCTGTGCGCAAGTGGCTATTGTCGGAAAACGTCACTCAAGATCAGGTTCAGGAGCGCGGGCTGTTTGTGGACGCCGTCATGACCATTGGCACTGCTGAAAATCTCCTGTCCACCACGTACGGCGTGTTCCAACACGACAAGCAAAGGGCCATCGGAGCACTGGCATTAATAGAGGTGCAAGCAGATATTTCAGTCAGCGATCCGCTGGCGGAGCCTTGACAGTGGCCAGCAACTCTTCCATCATGTCGGCCTGGATTGACATTATCCGCGGTGGAAATGACTTTAGGACGCCTGTGCTTTAGGAATTCCATTAGCCCTATTAGAGCTTTAATGAACATCCCGATGGGCACGCCAAGCTGCTTTTATTGTTTTGCACAGGGGACTGTAGCGGGGTAGAAGCGCCCAGACAAATTCGCATCTGCCGATTTGCTAAGGCGATTCTACTGGATTGCTACCTTTACTATTAAAAGTTACACCCCGCGATAAAGGCAGGCCCTTGTCCGCCAAATTTAACTAGAAGACAAGTAAAATCGTACGGCTACCCCGAGGACCTTACCCACGAGTTTTATGCTAGGGCTCTGTCTCCGCTCTGCGAGGCTGTGGTCTTTATTTAGAACGATTACTGGGATCTTCTCACTATTGTGGGAGTCTTGGCTCGTTGGGTGGACCTGTTATTTGCTTCCTCTATTCGCTGCAAACCACAGGTGCTAATTGTTTCGGAGCATAAGCTAAAGATTGCTCTGAGAGACGTTGAACGAGATTTAGTAGCAGAACTTATATCACACTATAGTCCACTCAAGGGGCTCTCATTTAGTTAGGCAGAGAAGAGATGGCGTAGTTGCTTTGCAGGAATTCGGCTGATGCGTGGCTGCAGGTCGCGAACGTCGGCTGATCATGTTTTGGAGTGGATACAGGCAACTCGAAATAATGATAGAGTCCTGACATTCCAAAATCGCGACGTGAAACACCTCTTGCGCTCGACCTGTTCATAGTTCGCTGAAGACCACCGGAGGACTTTCAGTTTTTAACAAGTATGGCGCATAAACCCCTTACCAGAATAACTATTATAGGGTGTAGAGAAACTAGTCCGCCTAATAATGCACGACGCTACTCTCTACGAATCGGCTTGTAGCGCTATAGCTAATTCACTTTTGTTAGAAACGTATTAGCACAGACGGCGAGTTGGTCGTATGTTAAGCCCTAAATTAATGGAATTGTCTTCCACCAACTAGTTCGACGAATTTTATTCGCCTATGTTAAGCAGCATAGAACCGGTAACTCTTAAAGCAGATGTTAGAACACTGTTTATATAGTTTATGAAGGTGGAACCCTCGGAAAGACAAGCATTTCTAGCAAGCTCAATGCGGACTCTTTCATCCAGTAGCAAGATTACGTTGCCCACAGATTTATGTCTCGTGTGTCTCTGTCGCTTTCCAGCGACTACCCTATCATGCGGCCACAGGGTATGCGATAATTGCACGGAGATTAACGGCAAGAAAAGCGAAAAGGGCATCGACATATACCAGATGAACTTCTGCGTCCTATGTGGAGCTGTTAATTTAGTATAAACGGCTCTGAAGCCGCCTTCGGCCGGTATTCGTGTTCTCAACCTTCATAGAAACGTCGACGATGCACTGCCGATCGCAATGTTCCTGAAGGATCTTCGATCGTCGCTATTGGGTCGCCTTAAGGATTATTTTAACCTTGTCTTAGGGAGCGGTATAGGCGCTTTTTTCATGGTAATAATCTTTTACAACTAAGCTGCCGTCGAGGACTGCATTTATCACCTACCGAAATTGAAGTGCGTTAGGATTGATGACAAGAGCCTGTTCTTTGGCAAAGGGTTGAGATTCCCGAGAAGTGACCTTCTTAATGCTAAGATAAAGCTGGTTTTGTACAATACAGACAGCCGTCTAGTAATTTGCTAAAACTATATTACAAAATCATTGAAATGGCTGTAAAAATTCCCAATTCTATCCTAAGGTGTCGTTAATATCGCCGCTCGCCCTTTTATTGAAGCTAACCGCATATAGCCGGATGGCCGTATCGACGTGATTACACAATGTTACAATAGTAATTACCCGGAGACTTTAAGCATGGTAAATGAGCTCATATCGGCTCTGTTTTACGTTTAAAGGGAGGGAATTCCGACTTTCTACGATCTCTTCCCCGCTCGCTTCGTACTATAGGTCAAGTGTAGACTGCCTGCCGGACGACATTTACTTGACATTGCTATGAGAATGCGAAGGAGGAAGGTTCACATTCAGTTTCACGAGAGCGGTTAAGTTAGATATTTCCTACTGTGTACTGATCAGATATTAGAGGCGTTAAAGAGCGGAAGGCTACTCCTGCGACGCCTAGAAGTCCTGCTACATTCTCTAACATCTATTGTTACTGTGAAGCTTAATGGTACACTTGCTACGGGCACTAGCGAGCTGTGTAACTGCCCTACAGATCTTCTCCCATGTGAAGACACGAATGATCACCCGAAATTTTTATTGAAGGAACAAATAAATAATTTACAAGAGATTATAGCACAGCTAGTCTAGTTTGTTATGTTAAATAGCGTTGTCGCCTTTGACCTTGCTCGACCGGGTGCTCTAGAAACATGGACTGAACCTTCTAAGGAACCTGGCGTGGAAACCGGCGTGGGAATTGACGAGGAAGCTGGTGTCTGCGGCGGACCCTGCTCTAATAATGGAAGCGGGGTGGACTGCTGAGCCTGCCTGGAACTCATGTCTTGTGTAAGGGTTATAAAGTCGTTTGGAGTTAGGATTTTCTTTGCTAGGAAAGTAGCTGCTTCCCAAGCAAAGTCTTCATGAGAGCGGTATACGAATAGCTCACCGTCTCGCTCCAGGTAGAGAGCCACTTTGACTCCGAAAGTCTAGTGCATGCTATGTGCCTTCTTTATGATACCGGATGTCCTTTGCTTCTATTATTTATTAATAGGGGTCTTTATCGTAATACTTTTAATTGTTTAAGAATCTGGGAAATTGTTTGTAGAATTAAAGAACCGGAACCGTCTATAAGGGAGTTTATATAGTAGTACGGGACTCCAGCCGCGCTGACAGAATTAGCCGCTAGCCCTGAGACCCGGCCTAAAGCTGCTAAAAATATGGTAGCTTGCCGCCATAACTCCGCGTGTTTCAACCAGTCACTTACTGTCCCTTAGATGCTACCTCATTTCGTATAACTTTCATTTTAGTTTTAAGAACTTTAAGAGGGAAATGGTTATTTTAAGATCTACTCCATAGAATGTGAAGTTTATCCTAACCAGTTTCAAGAACTTGGATCGAAATAACTATAGCCAATTGGAATATATCCCTCTTCCACAGACTGGTCTTGTATAGAGTTGGCATAGCGCTGAAACTCCTGGACGATTCTTCCTGTAATGTTGGCGATGGTCTTATTGCGACGTTTGACTTTATCCTTCGTCTCCTTCAAATTTACAGACAAACTTTCCTTAGTTTGTACCTCTGCAGCTAATTTGGCTTCTAGTGTACGTATATGCTTAATTATTTCTTGGTTGCGAAGCCGCAGCTGCTCGTTTTCGTCTTCCAGCAATTAGATGTACGTCTCTGGTAAGAACGAGCCAAGTTGCTTAGGATCCTGCTGGCGAGTAGGTACTGGAGGCAGCGTTTTATGGCGGTCTATGGTGCTTCTTATAGGATTTTCAGCTACGAGTCCTGTTGAAGGGAAATAGTCCTACATATATACTTTACAGGAGTGTCTAGTTTCCTAGGTTTCATTTCTAGCTTCCGCACCATCTCATTATTCCGCAGGATAGTTCGCTTCCTTAAGCCTTATGTTCACCTTTACGGAGAAACTCCTTAAGTCATTTACTAGGCTATTAATGGAATCTCATAGCTTTCCAATGTCTTTCTTAATCCCCTTAAGTCTGGAGTTATTAGATAGCTCTCTATTGACTGTATTAAACCTCTTCTCTAGACGCGTACTCTGACCAATATCCTTCTCGAGGTGCTCTAGCTTTTGAAGTATACATTGAAGGATACTTGGCGAATTAGGATGCTGCTCGGACCTACTAGAGATGTGGCACTTACTGTTTCTTAGAAGTTAAAGAAACCCCAAATGAATCGGTTATCGGTGCTTCAGGGGCCATGGACGCCGGGCCGCAGTCTAGAATCTGCTTAAAAGGAAGTGTGAAGTCTGATTCGGAGTACATTTTGAGTGAGTTGAGTTTGTTCATTGTTATCTGGGGCACGCACAGAGTGTCTCTTATAGCTAGAACGAAAGTGACCTAGAGTGAAAGCCTAGGGAAGGGAGCTGGCATCCTACATCTAGAAAAACTGTTGTAAAGATCTGAAGCGCCTAATTTTAAGAACTAAAAGCCCTAGAGTTAGTGGCAGAAATGACTTATAAATTTCTACTAAGCCCTTACTTTCTAGCTTGCAAACTACTTCTATTTTAAACTTGTTTAACTCACCACTCCACAATATGCGGTTCTTTACTATTATTGGAGCATGCAATGTTGCTGCTGGCATGGCGACTTTACCAACAATTTGCCAGTCTGATCCGCCGCTGCCCCTAAAGGCTAGTGAATTGGTGTCTGCTTAGTGCGTGTATACTCCTGGTCTTTCTCAATTTAGCCTCCCGTACTAAACTTGGAGTAGCGTTGACAGCGCGTCTAATAGTGTAGGCCCTTGTAAAGTAATCCTGCAATTTGAGAACGACGAATTTCTGCTAATAACTGTTTAGTTTGGGTAAATGGCTTGTTTAGGGCGCCAAATTGCTGAATTTAACCTTCCCTCTGAAGCCCCGGCTGGCGCTGCCTCCATTCATTGGTATTTGTGTCAAACACCCCTCCCGTTTAATGCCAGCTAACGGTAAAAAGGTTATGTGTTGGGCAACCATCGCCGATGTGCAACAGCGCTGTGATTGTAAACAGCCGGGGTAGTGGTGACGTAAAAGCTATAAATAGATTCCTGGAGGGCCGCTTGGGGTGCGTTGAGCCTGTCGCGGCCGTTGTCACAAATACTTTGACGATGACTAGTGGGACCGTGGCTATCACGATTACCATGATAACGGCCGTAGCTAGCCTCACAATAAGGTTCTTTCTTAACCAGACTGCTTCTAACGGATCGTTAACGGCGTCAACCTGGCCGGGCGGTAACACCGACCATACCAAGCGTGTAACCGCTGTTAACCCCACGGCGAATACGCTAGGTCCACGAACATTAGCGCCAACGTAACCTAATCCA